TTTAACTACACTCCTATTTCATTTTTGACACTTAAGGAGTTTATAAGAATGGCTTTGGAAGCTCTAGAGAAAAGAGGGTGATTGTCCCTGCCTTAATGCCCATACAAAATATATCCAGATGTAGAAATTAGATTTAAGATTTAAGCATGGCCAAAACCATAGGTCCAAACAGTGTATGTTCAGGATGTGATTTATTTTTTTTTTTTCAGTGACGGGTCTAGTTGAAAGGGAAACGATGTGCACATTTAACAGAGGATTTTGAGGGTTTCACTTGGAGTGAGAAACAGGAGGGGAGGGGCTGGATGCAGTGTTCTGACCTGTGAGGTGTTATAACTGGTTAGCTACTGGGATGCTGGACAAGGTGTCACATTAAGAATGCTTTACCACATTTCTAACCGGCAAAGGCTCTTGTTTACGAATGTTAGCAATTCAGGGCTAGCATGAATGGTAGCCAGCCGCGGGTACAGAATAGCATTCTGAACACCCCGATCTGTACCTGCTGTGAACTACTCTCTTAATTCCATGTCTGTCTCTGAGCTGATGGTGATACAGGATTTTGCTCAAGATGCTGAACCACTGCAGACTGGACATTGCTGTTGTGTCTTCTCCCACAGCGATGCTGACCTATTTTAATTGCTTGCTCTTCCAAGTATGACTTTGAAATCTGCCATAATGAAGTCAAACTTGTAAGACCTGTTGTAAGATTTCACAGCTGAATTCCTTTGCAAGAAATGCTTTCTCTGAATTATACTCAGGGAATGGGTTTTCAGGTAGCTTTTTTTTTTGGTAGTATGTCTGCTCAAAAATTTAGCTTCACATATTCTGTATTTAAAAGGATTTGGGGCAATAGATGCAGACCAAGAAAATCCATAACTCTTAAGAGTGAAAGGATCAAAACAGTATCGATATTTTTTTCTTATACAGTTGTTCCTGTTAACTTCAACTTTATTCTGAAAGTGAAAATAGATGTGGAATATTGAAGGTCAGAATATATTTTGTAAAAGAGACACAAGAATCTTGCTGCCTTCACCCTCCTTGCAGTTGTCCTTATTTGCTGTTCCCAAAATCACCCCTCCTGTGAAGGACAACAGAAGCTCATCCAGTCAAGCTGCCCAAACAATTCCATGTTACTCCCATGACCAGTCATATACTCAAATTGCTGAGTACTTAAGTCCTAGCTGAAGTAAGTAACTTGACTAAAGAAAACTGTTTGGGTTAACCTAGATATTCACATTAAATTTTAGAGCATTTGCAAATATATTAGTTGAGCATAAGATCACAGCAATTTTGAATCATTTGCTCAGCTTTATATGTCAAACAAAGATGGCTGAGATGCACATTTTTTAAATGCTTATTGCCAAGTCCTGATCAAAAATGTCCTGAAAAAATAAAGATTGTATTTATTGGACAGAAAGAGACCCATTTCCTCTAAATGTCATATAATGCCCACAAACTACTGTCTTTAAAGTGATATGAAGGATATTACTTAGAGTTTCTATAAACTTACAAGAAGAGGGGTAGAAAGAAAAAGAAAGAAAAAATAGAGGAGAAAAAAGAAAAACACCTGACCAACTCTGTCTCCCTCTGGAATTACTTTCTCATCTGAGATCCAAAGTCTGTCTTGAACACTGAATGCTTTTAACTTAAGAGTATCTGAAGCAGTTGGCATGTAAGTGAGAGCAGTGACACTGTCATCCATCTCTAACTGCATATTTAATTTGTAAAAATATAAGTTGTGAGAATGTCCAAATATCGATTACAGTCTGTGGGAACTGGCTGTTTTCTTTAGATGGAATGAGATCCTTTGATATGCACCTCTGTCAAACATTGGAAAGCATTAAGCTGCTGTATCTGACTTCATACACAGCTTAGTGATATGTGTCCCTCCGGAAAAAAATCTTTTATATGTTAATTTAAGCATTCAAACGCAGAATTTGAAATTAATGAAAATCAACCTCCATGTTTCAAAAAAGTAAGAGATTAAATTTGCAATTACTTAATTATGGTCTATGAAATACGCAAAAAAACCCTGAGTTTTGAGCAAAGATTATTTTCAAAATATGAAGATTTTATAGTAGTAAGTGCTTCAAATTGTTCAGAGTTTGATTTTCTGTAGGGAAAATTACCCTTTCAAAATTTGTTTCTCCTGTTAATAAATAACCTAGAGCTGAAGCTTCAATTTTCAGAAGAGCAAAAGAATAGATTATATTAACTAAGAGATGGGAAAATAAATTTTCATGTCCTGGAGAAAGAAACAGATTGTGTCTCTTAATGACTTTGCATTTGTTCAAGTAATTTTGTAGTCAGTTCATAATGGATCTGAATTTTATAAACATTTATTATTATCGCTAATATCTGGACTAAAATAAACAAAATAGAAGTATAAAAATGCTCACAAACAGTTGATACATTGATATGGGGAAGAGGGGGATGGAGTATGTGCATGTGTCCCCCCTCCCTCTTCAAAAATAATTAAGAATGTATCCAAGCATCCTGGCCGAAATGAGCTGTATTGTCCTTAATTTCTAGTTGTTGTTTTCCTCTAGACAAACCAAGCTGAAAAGAGACACTGATTTAATTTGGTAAGGAATACGTTGTCTGTCTGATGCCTTGTTTTCTGCTTGCTCGTGTCTTGCCAACAATTATCTTGTCAAGAGTTAATGTAGGCAACAGAGAAGCAGTTAAAAAACTTCTGATAGAAGTAAACTTTTACTGGAATAAAGCTTGATCTAAAAACGATCAAATGTTATTATTTAAAGAATTTTTCTGCTCTTTTTCTCATGAGACAAATACTGCCTTTATAACTGGCATTTTCTGGACCTGAACCCCTGCACATTAATGCAGATTATGGCACAAAACAAATTTAGACCTGAAATTAAGATTAACTAGAGCAACTTGTTATAGAGCTTTGCCTGTGCTGTTTTACAGTGCTGTGTATTGAAAAAGATGTAGCTTGGAATGCTCCTGCCCTCAAAATGTCCTCGTGAGACCTGGGACATTGGGACTTTGTAGCTGGGAGCAACCTGGGACATTACACACTGGTGGCTTCCATGCCAATGTGGCAATACCTGTAGGAAGGGGCAATATGGTTTGGGACTTTTCTTGATTAGCATAATCAACTTTTAAACTCTGAGCAGTTGTTCTCCATCTGCTTTAGTTTTAAAGGTCTCTGTTTCTTGCTCAGATGAAAGAAAGATCTAGTGTCCAAAAGATGATCTGTTTCTTTCCAAAATAGTAGTTAAAAATATTACATCTCCTTCCAGTCCTTGTCATATTTATATCCTTAAGTCACCTTGGGTAAAACAGTGCTGGTGTGCATGTGGCTGCTTTCAAACTTGCCCAGTAAGAAACTGGACATTTGTTTAAAGTCTGGGTAATATATATATCTGCACCCACACATCATGTATAGAGTCTATAAATACACATCTGGATCAATGTGAAGTCTAAAAATCCATTTAGACTTCAGATTTCTTGGTGCAATGACGTATCTGACTTGGCACTTCTACCTATTGGATGAGCTTAGGGAAGAAAAGGGATCCTCTTGTTATAGATGCAGCTTGAAATGTTACAGAACTATGAAAGTGGGAGTAAGGAAGGATGGGCAGTCTGTGGTGGGGTGGAAAATTTGGTCGTCTGTTGGCTTTAGTGCTGCAGAATAACTTTGGATGGCAGCTCGTCGCAAGCTTTATAAAAAGATGTACGTCAGCTTTCAGGCAATGTGCTGGCTTGTTTGGGATGGAATTCTGGCTTGAAGATGTCTTCTGTACTTGGATGCAGTGAATGTAAGGATTCAGGCTAAAAGGCAGAGTAAAATTGAATTTACCACTTGGATTTTTCTTTCAGGAAGACTTGGAAACTGATTATGCATTTAATAATGCAGAAGCACATGATGGCTGAAACTTAATTTTCTTTCTTTACTTTTGTAGTTCTTTTGTAAAGGTTACAATATCATCTTTTGCAGCAAGTTCATACACTTTGGGTTTTTTACATTTACTTTAACGGCAAATACCGAAAGTATGGTAATGTTATTTGCCTTAAATTTGTGGTGAGGAAGAGGCAGAATCCTGGGGTTTAGTATTAGAAGGAAAGTTATTATTAGAAAGTTTGTATCTGTTAATACTTGTAATGTGTACAAATTAAAAAAAATTCTTACACCTTTTAAAGGAGACATTAACAGGGTCATAATCAAAACACTTTCCACTCCTTTACAAAGCTGTGATTTTGCTGTTTTCATGACATCATAACTCATTTGCTATTGTGTAATCTAGTTATGAGACTGTTAAAGAAAATGGTTTTAACTATGGTTATGTACCTACTGTATTGGCTTTTGGTAGTAATTGTGAAAAATTATTTTCCCTTTTCCTGAATGGAAGTTTAGACTAAAATTACAGAATTGTTACACCATCAGTGTGTAGCAAATAAGCCCCCATTTCTTTAGAGGGGGAACTGAATTGTGACCTCCAGTTCCAATTACACTAAATCACTTTTGAATGTGTGATGTTCTCCAATAACACTTTTGATTAATAACTTGTAATACTTGCCAATTTACTGGGGCCATTACCATCTTCCTCTTCTATATTTTTTCAGTGTCTAGTGCAATGTGACCTTGTCCCACTGTTCTGAACTCCACATTGTGGCTGTAATTGAAGTGCATTAACAACAATATTAACTGTTTGTAAAAATTAATCTGAAAATAATTATGACTAATGAACAACTAAGAAAATCGTGATGGTGTTTGTAACAGTTCATGAGTTGGAAAAGAAGCAAAACATTGTTACAAAACTATTTTGTTTTGAACTTTTCTGCCTATGCTTAAATATTCACGAAAGTTTGGAAATGGTTTCTGACACCTCATTGCCATGGTGATCAACTCTGTGCATGATATAACAGCATGAGTCAGTGCGGAACAGAAACCCGACCATAATTCCAGCCGCTGTATTTGTTTACGTTTGTATATGCTGTGAACAAAACGTTTTGCTTTCCCTATTAGCCACAAATAACGTGTAGCTGCAGCAGCGACCACAGGAAGATGTAAAGGGGGGGGGAATGTAAACAAACACTGGAGGAAGACAATGTGGAGGTAAATATAATCTTTGGTTGTTACTCCAAATTATGGCGATGTGGGGTGTGGCAGTGATTGGGGCTGTCTGCTGCCGGAGTGAAGATGCTGAAGACTTTATATTGGCTGGTATAGAAGTCTTCCTGGTAGCACTATTGCCAAGGATATTACTGCATTTTGTCAAGAAATCATGAGGCTCTGGTCTTAAGGATCAAAAATTTCAAGATAAGGTTTTTGTGCTGTACCTTTATTTTTAATTTTCATGGGTGTCTCTGTCTAAGTTTTTTTTTTTTTTTTTTTTTTTTTTTCCCTGTTTGATTCATAATTTCAAAAATTTGCATGAAAAGACTTTGAAATACATAATAGAGGTATTTGTGGTATATATGATATTTATAGCAAAGCAAGGAAAGGTTAGGTTAACGGGGCGATGTTCCTATCTAGTCTGGGTTGGTCTGTCTTTTCAGCCTCCCACATTTCTGAGTTGTCAGGTTGTTAAACAAGCATCATGTTCGCCAGATTGATTAATTTTCATTTTTTTCCTTCACACACTATTCATAAAGTGTTGCATAGAGCAGGAAGTGATTGAATCAAGTGAAGGGGCAAAGGAAAACAGACTTATGTTGTTCGGTTAAGCTTAAGGAGAAGCATGGCTGGGAGACCTGGGTAAAGCCACCTCAGGTACAACCTGTAGTAGTGCCCACTGCCTTTCAGGTAGCTGTGGCACTGCCTGCTGTTACATCATTTTACTTCCTTCATAAAGATTTGAACTTTTTGTCTTACAAGCAACCTGTCTGAGCCTGTTTTGTTAAATAGCCCCTGCTTTATTGTGGTGAAACTACTGATAGTAGTCTTATTCATTAACATGAAGCCTCAATGTTAACATTTGCTTAAAACAGAATCTTCACTACTTAAATCATCCTTATATTGAAGGGAAAACTTTGAGGCTGTGACATTTAGCTGCATGAATATGAGCTTCCTTTATTTACAGCAGGGATGGGATGACTTCAGTGAGGGCGAGCAGTGGTGTGTTTTAGCTTCCCTTTGTAGTTTGGTTTTCCCTGTGCAAAGGAACAAAACAGAAAAAGGTCTCAGATCCCTCTTGGTGGGATGGGAGGAGAGAAGGGCAGAAAATCATGTGGATTTCTCCCATCTCCCTCCATCCACCACTCAGTGTCAGCTGGGAAGTCTGTAAAAATAGATTTTTGGCATGTCAACTTGTGTCCCCTTCAAATGTGAAAGTCAGACTCTACCTACACCTTTTAGTCAGTAATTTCAATGTGTAAAAACTCTCTCATCTTCTACAGGAACTTGATGGCTTTATACCCTTTGTTAAACAGATTCACCCTTCTGCGCTCTGTATGAGCAATGAAACAGCCAGATTGCTGGCTGCCTGTAACATGAATACTTGTTTCTTTCAGGGTAACACTGTAAATACAATCCAAGCCAGCAGATTGACAGAAGGTTGTGTTTTCAGGTGACTGCCACCTCCCCTTCACACCAGCTACTTGCTACAAGGTCCAACAGTTTTGTCTCTTGTGTTTTTCCTGTCTTTTTCTGCACCTTTAACAGTATTAAATAAGCTGAATCACACTAAATTTGTTTAAGTTTTTAAACTTTTTGATTACTTTTTACAATGTCAGTTTCGTAAAAGGTATGCTCTTCAGAATCAGTTGAATAAACGTTGAGAATGAAATCAGAGTAATATGTCCCACCTTTTGTTTATTGTATTAGGGGTGTTTGGACAAATCATAATTGTGGCCGTTTTCTTCCCCTACCTCATTTTTTGCATTTGTGAAGACACAAGCTGCTTCTTTTGGAGGGACCTCTGTTTCTAGACCACAGCTCCCAGGACATTTGAACCTTTGGGTTTTTATTTGTATTATTTCTTTCTGGATTTCCCCATTGGAAAATGTGTAGTGCTGTGTAAAACCAATAGCAGTACCCAAAACATAACATGAAGAAAAGAAAAAATCTGTAAAATTAATGTGAGCTCATGTAAGCTGCCAAGGAAATGACAAGGGGGTATAAAGTGGAATAATTTTTTCTGAGAAAAAATAAAAGACAAATAAAAGGTAGAGAGCTGTGCAAGAACCCTTTGCACTCTTTCCTGGATTTGCTTTGTCCTTACACTTGTAGTGAGACTTTCTTTGGCAGTGCTTGTGAAGGATATTTTTTGTGAAAAGCCAGTTTAAGAAATGAAGCAGCGGGGAAGGTAGAATTACCATGAATTATTTCTCTCTCTGTTGCCCTGATCTGATTCTGTTTCTCTCTCTGGCAATCCTGCCAGTTGCAGAGCAAAGCAAGCAATTCCAATTTGAAGATGTCGACCTTTTTTTCCTTTGAGATTTACGTTAAACATAATGGTTTAGAGGGCTCCAGTCAAGGAAGTTTACCTTTACGGACAGTATGATAGTAGCCACATGCCATTGCCAGCCACTTCCAATTCTACCTTATCCTGTAAAACTCATTAACATCAGCATGTGTTGCAACATGCAGGGAATACCAAATGTATAGTGACAATTTATGAGACAAAAATTCTAGGCTTGATCTATCTTGACATATTTGTCGCATACTTTTACTTACTCCCACCTTTACTCCTTTGTGGCAAAGAACCTTTGCTGGGTAGAGAAATCATAATGAGATGGAAGAGATGGTCTTTCTGTGGATACCTATTATGGCACTATTTAAAAATTAAGGATAGAAATTAAATAAGTAGAAATATCTCATGAAGTTTGCTGGAATCTACTATTTACTGACTCCCTTTTAGAAAGCAAGAGTAAGTGTCACTGGACATGGTCTCTGTCTATGAAGAGTAGGCTCTTTGATTCTCCTGTTTCTGAACAGCACTGTGTGATGGGCCCTGCCCATGATGGATTATTTTGACTCCACTGACAACCCCACCTTGCCTTCATATTCAGTTCAAAGCTAAGGCACCTTACAGCCTCTAGCAGTCTAATCTGATTTAAGCTTTCAGTGGAGCTTTAAACATTGGGTAATTTTGGCTGTTTATAATTTGTAAAATGCAGTAATTTTTTTTTTTTCTTAAATTTCACCTGTTTTGTGGCTTTCATTGCTTTTGAAAAAAAAAAAAAGTCGGTTTAGCAATTCACTAATCCAGCTAGCTCTGGAGATATTTTTTTTTTTTTTCTGCTATGAAGGGTTTTACTAGGATATCTTAAGCTTTCTTCACGTGTGATTTCTGAAAGATTTTAAGAGCTAAACCAGCATGTATGTACAGCACTGGCATCAACGTATTTGCTAATTCATGTGAGAACTGAGATGTGCATCTATCATAGGTGTATTTATATGGCTGTTTTAACAGTTTACTGGATGCTTTTGCAGTGAGTAACATGGCAGGTGCCACTGAAGGGCTTGCAAGTTGTTTAAAGCCATCCTTTGCTAACCCCGTGTGCTGTATTTGCAATTTTTGCTATAAATTCATACCCCAGGTAAATCATGCACACTGTGTGATTGTGATTTGACTGAAAATAATTATTAAGGTAGTTATTGACTATCAATGAAGTATTGATTGCTCTCCTAATAGAGCTGTCATGATCTTCAGTTCTTTGCCACTAATTATTTTGGTGTATAGATCCTTTCAAGAAGTCATATGTAAAACGCTGAAAGCAGAAATAGTACTTTATATTCAGAGTGATCTATTGCTGACAGTCATTGCAGCACAGTTTGGGAGAAAAGTATCTCACAGAGCCAGAGGGTAATCGCCTGGAAAGTTAGATTTGAACAACTTCTATGTAGGAGTGCTGAGGTTTTTAGCATGACAGCTCAGGGATGCAATAGAGAAATGTGTAATACAACAAAGGAAGAAATAAGATAAAGTAAGATAGAAAAGAGGAAGCCAGGAAGAACTGGTAAGAGATGGTAGGAACCAGAACGCTCCATTGCATTTACAGTAGGAATAAACTCAAGAACAACTCGGAGACTACGCAGCTTGCTGAAGCCTAATAGGGTTGACTGAGCTGTAGCTGTTCAGACAGCTGCCCACTGATACAAGAAGTCAGGAACCCAAAAAACTTTAGAAAATCAGCAGGAAGAAACTATTTCCTGTTGCTAAAGAACTGAGGCAAAAATGTCAACTGGTTGGAATTCCAATAGCAAATTAACTCTGTTTTTGTTTTTTGGTTGTTTATTTTTTTTTTTCCTGTAGGTTCTGAATAGGAGCCACTCTTTGCTCTTCCAGTTTTTCTGTCAGATATTTAAACAGAAATGATTTCTGTGTGCAAGTGAGTGCTAATTCTCCACATATGTTGGATAAAAGATTTGAAATACATAACAGGTGAACCAGAAAATGCCACATTTTTTTCAGCCTGTTTCATTTCAATGGTTCAGTGATGTGCAGTCCTTAGGCAAATTTGATATAAAAGCGTTACTGTGCTTTTTTAGAAAAAAAAAAAAGTGGCTGAATTTATTAAAGCTATTTAAAGTATGGGTTTAATTCACAAATCCTCATTTCTGATCACTTAAGGTCATTTTTCGGTAGGAGTTTCTATCTCTCTTACGTACCCTAAGTATGTTATGCAGCTATATCAGGCAGAACTTAGACATTTAAATAGTGTAAAGAAAAAAAACATCATCATAAGTAAGCTGCTTAATAATAGGAAGACTCTGGTAAAAATGAATCAGTCTAGTCTAAAGAGCTTAAATTTACCACTTACTATTCATGTGCGTAATGCACTGGTGTTGCACTGGAACTCGAACAGAGGAGTTGTAGAATAGTCCGCAATATTCTGATGGCATTTAATTTCTGTGTACTTCACAATGTGGAAAGTAAAATCCTCCTGGAAGATTATGAGCTCTGTACACAGATGAAATGCTGTAGGAAAGAATCGTTATTGTCAAAGAGACATCTACAGAACAGACGTAGAAAGTCTTTAGCAAAATTGCAGTTAGCAGAGAAAACAGTAAGGAATTGTCTTCCCAGCATTGCTTTAGATTAATGCAGCGAAAGGGTGAAAGAGGCTCTGAAAACATGGAATCAACACTCAGGGCTACATTTTCATCCCTGAAGAACAGTGTCTTTTCTAACCAAGGAGGCTTCTCTAGCTACTGTTTTTTAACCCCTGTTTGGAATGGGCTGTGCTCTATCCTGAAAGATACTCTGCAGATCTCTAAACAGGCAGTGTCCCAGATTCTCCTGGGAGAAATCACTGTTCTGCATTGTCTTCCTTGAGGCAGTCCTGTCAGAATTCAGACACCTCAGCAGTTTGAAAATAGTTCATCCCCAACTGTATTACGATTGCTGCACTGGTAGGTGTTGAAGGATAAGATAAGTTCCTACCTATCTCTACATCATTGGTACAGATGAGACCTAGAACAGTTTTCAATTCACAGGTCCATATAAACATTTAGTTCCTGTTAATGAAAATGATGGGGCCTGAAGGTGTCCAAAATCCCCGGAAGGTCTGTTTTGAGCTTAAGCTTGTAAAAATGCAGCTACGATAATGCTGAAGAGTAAACAACATGCAAGCTGTACATAACAATTTTTGATTTATATGCTGCACTGAGCCAAAACAAAGGCATTCAGAAAGTTTTCACCCATGGTTACTCCTACAATAATAACTGCAGGTTGACATCCCCCAAGCCAATAGCGAAGAGGCAATGGCCATTCTAGGCAATTTTTTGGTTTTATTTGTTTTATTGCCGCTTTAAATGAAGGGGGGGG